CTCACAACCAACAGCTTCTACCCTTTATTCTAAAATGATAAATTCTCGCTTTTAATAATGTATGATTGAAGATGCCTTCGATTCTCATCTATTGAAAGATATCCTAAGCTGTCTGATATCCTTTTTTTTCTTAGCATTTCAATCATATGACTGAATATTGATTCATCAACACCTTCAACTTGAGCGAACGCTTCAAATAACTCTTCTTTCTAATCGTAAGTGCGATCCATAATCTTTATTTTTTTTTAATATTGAAGTTTATTACTTTTATAATAACTTTTATATTACTAAATAGATTTTAATTGAGTTAATTGCCTATCGAAGGTATCTTTGTTTTTCTTAAAGTATTTAGAATTAATTTCTTTAATTTTGTGAAGATATTTGAGGTGTATTTCTTTTGATAATTTCCTTAGAATTACATATGTTTCTTTCTACAGCCTTGCCAATCTCAGTACTTTTCTTCTTTTACTTCCGACAACGCAGGTATTTGCTCCCTTTATGTAATCCCACTTATTATTGAAATATGGTGTGTGAATCTCTCAATGCTGATAAGAAAGGAAATAAACTTGTTTAAAAATAAAAAAGAAGGTATTAGACAACAGGGAAGTTTTTGTGCCGAATTGCAATAGAAGTTTATTGAGATGAGTGAAAGAAATCAGAACTATTTAGAAAAACCCTTGAAATGAGGAATATTAAATAATTTATCATTTATACTTTATTAGGATAAAAATTCAAGAAAATCTCTTTATGGATTAGTATAAACTAACAGAGATGAAACAACCAGAAACAATTTAAGGAGTTTTAAAACTGTATTTTATATGTTGGGCTAGTAAAATTCTGTCAAAATTAGGATTTATAGATTAATTATGAGCCATTACTAAAACTGATTTATGTAGTTTTGATTTTTTCAAATGATGTCTAAATTAACTATTCAGTATGAGCATTAAGAGTGCATATCCAGGTTCATCTAGAATGTAAAAGAGTAACTGTTTTTATTATGTTCTTGTAATACTTATTTGTCAATTTTAACCTCTTTCCTCATACTTTCTATTATGGCAAATTCAACTTAGTTATCTGAGGAATAAAAGATAAGATAATTTCTTTATATGAATTAAGAATTGCTTTAGTGAAATATATGGTATAATTTAAAGAAGATTATCAAGACAAACAACTCTAATAATTAATTACATACTTAAATACTAAGTTTAATAAATTTATGATATTTGTTATTCTATTTGAAAAAGGATTCACATAAAATAAAAATTTTAATTTAACGAGCTTGTTTTATTCATAATGATCTTTTAATTAAAGAGTAATAATAAAATTGTATAATGAAAAATATATAATTATTGAAAGAGCAACTCTTTTGCGTTAATTTATAGTATCAAATATAGATTTTTTATTGATAATTATTGACATAAAAATGAAGTAAAACTTATAAAAAGATTAATTGCAATTAAAATATATACAAGCCTTAACTATCTATCAGTAATTTAAAGCTTAATGTAATTATATTGGCTCTCACTTAAGCTGTTTTTAAATTTATAATAATTTCTCTCTTCTAGCAGTGGTAGATCTTCGAAAACTATTTCATTAGAATAAATACTGTGAATTTTTATTTATTTTTTGAGTTGTCAATTTGCCACAGAGGGATTTATTTCAATTCTCTGTATTGATTTATTGAAATTTTTCTTAAACAAAATTGGATTCTAAAACTACAAAAAGATTTTTTTTTTGTCAAATCAATTAATAAATTGTCTAAAAAAAACTAAGAAAACTAAGAAAACTATATATTGAAGACCTTTTATATTTTAATTCATAAACAACTTTTGTTTACCTGACTTTCTGAAAAATTCTATATTAAATCTAGCTATTTGAATTTTATTAGTTTTATAAAATTTTCTTACGGTACAATAGTTTTAAACTAAATCAAAATTTTCTTAAATCTCTCAAATTCTTTAATAATTATTAACCTCAAATATAATTAACACTAACTAATTGATACCTTGTGCATATGTAGGTAGTTATTCGAGCTCATTAGAGTATTAAAAATATTTAACTGAGATCAGATTTATTGATGCTATTGTTTGAAGGTAACTTCGATAATTATACATTGGATATTTTGCTTCGAGACTGCTATTTTTTTATGTTACTAATATTGAGTATGTAACTTCTTTCATTATGCTTAGCTTTTCCTACACTTACTTAGTTATGCTAGTAATGTAATCCAAAATATATCCTTGTTTGAATCAGTAAAGAGGATAGTGCCTTTAAATTATGTTTCTTTTGATTCCTGCTTCCATTTACTCTTCAATTTCTATTTTTTTCATGTTTTTGTTCTCAATAATCTATAGCATGATCAAAATATTTTTTATGCTTTACAATATCAATTAGAACAGCCTCAACAAAAATGGTTGTTATATATTCAACAGGAATAGCATTGACTACTTTACTATTCTTATGACTTAATGTTAGCATATCTTTCATTTTGAGTTATCAAAATCTCTTATTGAAATCTTTTAGATTTATTTGATTCCAATTCAATTACATATGATCTGTCTTAATACAAAAAGGAAGGTTAAGGATAAAAGTTTGAATTGATAAATGAAACAATGCAATATTTTTAGAATCTTCATAAGTCGGCATTTGGCATTTGAGGAATAAGATTTAATTTGCATTAAACTTCTCTTTAAAATAGATTTAAAAAAGCAAATCAATTATTCAAATGGAAAAGAGCATTTATTTAAAATGCAATTTTTGCATAAGCTATTAAAATAATCAATCAACATCTTCACAATCTTTTTCATTTATTTCTAATTCTCTAAGATCAACTTCTATAATATCTAACACCTGGCTAAATTAAATAAATATTTCACATTTTTGGATGCGTGTAAAGATTTTATATTTTTCTCTCTAATTCTTTTTCAAGGAGTTCTTCTATTAAGTCTTAAAGTTTGATTTTATTTGCAGACTTCTAGTTTAAACTTTATAATAAGTTTTCAACTGTTTTAGGTTTAATTCATTTTTAAAATTTAAATAAATTAATTAGATGTATTTTATTAGTCTTATTTTTAATTTTAAATATTTATTTTGTAGTTTTAAGTAATTTTTTATTATTTCATATTAACTCAATATATAGCAATAAATGAAATAAGGTTCTATATATATTAAGTATAAGAGAAAAATAAATTTAAATTCCATTTTGTAAGAAATTCAGATAAATTTTGTAGGTTTTATAATTTAACAATTCTCTTAAATCCTTAATATGCTCTGAAATTCTCCAGTTTTTCTTTATTGTCGCTCCCAGATATTTGTATTTATTAAGTATGGGTATTGAAGTTCTTCTTTCATATTTTCGAATTTCTGATAATTTTTTCAATTTTCTGAGAAAATCTTTAATGCTATATAATTGAAAATTAAAAACTCTTAATTTATGGACTATTTGTTATTTCTTAGCTATCAATCTTTCTAAACAATGTTACAGAAATAGTTACAATATTTTTTCCACCAAGAAATGAATTATATTTAATCTTAATAAAAATTGTAAGGGTCTAACTTAAACTTCTATATATTAGAATAAATAATATGATCATAAATAAGTCTTTTCTCAATCTTAAAGCTAAACCATGGTTAGAGGAGAAAAAATTCTTACAAGCCCTTCAATTTTCTATCAATCAGAATTGAGAAGCTTTATCCTTTCTAAAGCTTAATGTCAAATCTCATTTATTCTTTAATTTAGTACTATTTTCTATTTACAACTAATGAGAAATATTCTTTTCAAAATTTTAGTATATATTTAGCATTTGCATATTTTTTACTTTCTGCAGGTAGTATTATTAGGTGTTCTTTTCTAATGATCACAAAGCCTTTTTAATTAGTTAGATCTGAGATTGCTTTCAATAAGTCGCTTTATTGATTTTGATTAAATCATAATTTAAAGGGATATTTGTTCAGGCACGATTATATAGCAATAAATTCTCAACTAGCATAAGAGTAAAATCCATAAATAACTTTTTATTTACTTCTAAATTAATTTAAATAGCAATTTATGATGTTCTTCAATTCAACTGAAAATTTGGTGCAATCAATTTCAGAGCCAATTCTACTTAAAAGACATGAAATAGAACACCATTTTATTAAATAAATAGATAATCCAACTTAAACCAATAATACTTTTTGCACCAGCGCGACAATTAATAAATCTTTTGGAACATTGATTAATATAAAAGCAAGAAATTATCATTAGAGTAGAAAATCTGGATAGAATTGTCGAAGAAATCAGCTCCAAAAAAGCTTGCATGACTATAATTATAATTATTTCTTCATCAAATTATGTTACATTAAGGTAAATAGAGTTAAAAGCTTACAGAAAATTACAATGCTCCAAACAAATTCATTTATTGCTGTCTAATAAAGACCTATATAATAATTATTAAAAAGCTTATTATTTTTTATTTGAGTAAATGCTTTATATAAGAGAATTAATCACTGATAAAAGTAGAAAGTCTTAAGCTTGGATTACAAAATCTGTAAGGCAAATAGTTATATACAATATTAAATTTATCAAACTTATTCATAACATAGCTGATTAAACCAAAAGAAAATATTGATAACCCTATTCTTTTGTATTTAAGAAATATTTAATTTACATCCAAACCGACTTTTTAATTTTATTTTTACTAACATCACCTCCTCCAACTTAGAGAAAAGATAATAATCCCTATTTTTTTCTTTATGGTTGCGAGTGTTTTTGCTATAAATTTAAGATTTATATATTTATTTGAATTTTGATTTTTTTAAACTAAATCTATAGGTCTATCAAAAGCATCTTAGACATCTGATTTTAAATATTGATAAAACATCAGAAAATTTATACTCAAAATAATATTTAAACTACAAAAAATAAGGTCAAACTTTGATTTGTGGATAAATCATTAGTATTGATTAAAAATTATCTTCTATATTGATTATACATATAGATTTTTATAATTCATAATTTTATGCTACTTGATTCCCTGTTAGTGCAATTCAACAAGTTTAATTATATATTTAACCAAAATCTTAAAGAATATAACAGAGAATTAGAATTAGAACTAAGTAAATAAGCCAGATAAATTATATATATTATTAAGTTCAGCTATAAATTTTGATCTTATCATATATGTAATATAAAGGTTCATGCATTAATAGTTGGCTTATAGAATGATTAATAAATGAGAATACTAAAAGAAATTAGAAATTAAATTAATTATAGAATCTTGAATTAATATTCAGTTGTCAATAAAAATAAATAATTATTGAATTTAGTCAAGTCTTATAAGAAATCTTTATAACTTAATTCAGACTTAGATTTTGCTGGATTAGCTATTGTTCTTAAGAATGTTCAACCCTATGTATTTGTTCAGGCATCAAATTTTTTATAAGAATAGATTGGGTATCAATGATTTTTATACAATAAGCAGTGGCAAAGAGAGAAGAAGTAGATTAACTCCAATTTTATTAAATTGAGAAGCATTGCAAATCTGTCAATAAAAATCACTTGCATTTTGTTTACTTGAGTTGTTTATACAATTCCTACTTTATAGAAAACTGCATGTTATGTGATTGGTTCAATAAGTACAATATTCATTAAAAACAAAGCATTTTTAATATGAAGAACATCAATAATCTTTTAGAAAAAGCATATACAAGACCAATTAGTCAGTATATTAAATCCCACAATCCATATATTTGATTAGAAAATAAAGTTAGGCTAGATTTTAATAATAAAATTTAGAGAATATTGAAATATAATCCTCTCCTGAACCTGACTAAGAAACTGTAAAACTATGGGAATTTCAAATATTTATTTTTGCTGAAAATTTATGGGATTCATCATAATGCTTTATGTGCGATACTCTAGCACCATCCAACAAAATTCTTTATAAAGAAGCTGAAAATTAAATAATAATAATCATGTATATTTATATAT